TCATCGAAAAATCGAAACATGAAAAGCTCGAAACATCGAAATAGCCCAAAATTGAAAAATTAAAAAATGAAAGATTTAAAAACTGATAAAATTTTTCAAGTTCTTGATTTTTAGATTTTTTTGTCTCTTAATTTTTTTCCGTTTCATCAATTTTTCGTTTCTTTAGTTTTTCAAGTATCTATTTTAATTTTTCGTTTCTTGAATTTTTTAAGTTCTTAATTTATAATTTTTCACTTTCTTAATTTTGAGTTTTTCAATTTTTCGATTTTTAACTTCCCCTATTGTTTGATTTTTCGATTGTTCAATTTTTCAAGTTCTTGATATTTTTTTCATTTTCTCGATTTTTTGATTTCGCACATTTTCGATTTTTGAGTTTCTTAAATTTATTCCGTATTATCAATTTTTCGTTTCTTCAGTTTTTCAAGTTTTTCATTTTTATTTTTCAATTTCTCAATTTTACAATTAATATATTTCAATTTTTTCTTTCTTGAATTTTTTAAATTCTTAATTATTTTTCATTCTATTAATTTTTAATTCTTCAATTTTTCGATTTTACGTTTTTTGACCACAATTTTTCGTTTTTTTTTAACTTCCGTTATTTTTTAATTTTTCGGTTGTTCAACTTTTCGTTTTCTCAATTTTTCAGGTTCTTGTATTTTATTTTCCATTCTCTCGATTTTTTGATTCTGCACTTTTTCGATTTTTTAGTTTCTTAAATTTTTTTCCGTTTTACCAATTTTTTATTTTTTTTTTAATTTTTCAAGTTTTTGATTTTAATTAATCAAGTTTTTGATTTTAATTTTTCAAGTTTTTGATTTAAATTTTTAAATTTCTGAACTTTACAATTTTTTGTATTTTAATTTTTCGTTTCTTGAATTTTTTAACTTCTTAATTTATAATTTTTCATTTTCTTAATTTTTAATTTTCCAATTTTTCGATTTTTAACTGCTCCTATTTTTTAATTTTTCGATCGTTCAACTTTTCGTTTTCTCAATTTTTTAAGTTCTTGATTTTTATTTTTCATTTTCTCGATCTTTTGATTTTGTCCTTGATGTTTTTAATTTTAATTTTTCAATTTCCCAATTTCACTATTTTTTTATATTTCAATTTTTCCTTCCTTGAAGTTTTTAAATTCTTAATGTGTAATTTTTCAATTTTTCGATTTTATATTTTTTTGATGGCAATTTTCCGTTTTCTAACTTTCATTATTTTTTTAATTTTTCGTTTTTTCAATTTCTCAAGTTCTTGATTTTTTGATTATGCACTTTTTTGATTTTTTAGTTTCTTAATTTTGTTCCGTTTTATCACTTTTTCGTTTCTTCAGTTTTTCAAGTTTTTAATTTTTATTTTTCAATTTCTCAATTTTACAGTTTTTTTATATTTCAATTTTTCCTTTGTTGAATTTTTTAAATCCTTAATTTATAATTTTTCATTTTTTTCATTTTTAATTCTTCAATTTTTCGCTTTTACGTTTTTTGATGACAATTTTTTGTTTTTATCTTTCCTTATTTTTTAATTTTTCGATTGTTCGTTCAACTTTTCATTTTCTCAATTTTTCAAGTTTTTGAATTTTATTTTTCATTTTCTCGATTTTTGATTTTGCACTTTTTCGATTTTTTTGTTTCTTAATTTTTTTCCGTTTTACCAATTTTTCTTTTTTTTAGTTTTTCAAGTTTTTGATTTTAATTTTTCAATTTCTGAACTTCACAATTTTTTGATGTTTTAATTTTTCGTTTCTTGAATTTTTTAACTTCTTAATTTATAATTTTTCATTTTCTTAATTTTTATTAAGTGCTTGATTTTTATTTTTCATTTTCTCGATCTTTTGATTTTGCTCTTGATGTTTTTAATTTTTATTTTTCAATTACTCAATTTCACAACTTTTTTATATTTCAATTTTTCCTTCCTTGAATTTTTTAATTTCCTAATATGTAATTTTTCAATTTTTCGATTTTACATATTTTTGATGACAATTTTTCGTTTTCCAACTTTCATTATTTTTTTAATTTTTCGTTTTTTCAATTTCTCAAATTCTTGATTTTTATTTTTTATTTTCCCGATTTTCTCTATTTTAGTTCACGATTTTTCATCTATTTTTCAAATCTATGTAAAGGTACTTTGATTTTGAAAAAACCGAAAAATCGGGAAATATAAAACCGAAAAATGGAAAACCTCAAACACTTTCACAACCGGAAAATCTAAAACCGAGAAGTAGAAAAATCGAAAGACTGCGAAATCCAAAAATTAAAAAAATCATAGTATAAAAATTCAAAAAATTAAAGAACTTAAACTTCAAAAAAATCCAAAAAATAATAAATTTAAAATGGAAAAACCTTAAAATAAAAACTCGAAGAATTAAAAAATCCTAAAACTGAAATATCACGAAACTGACAAATCCATTAGATTGAAAAACCGAAAAATCGAGAAATTTAAATATCGAAGAAAAATTGAAAAATCCAAAACTGAATCATAGAAAAAATGAAAAATCGCGAAATCGAATAGACGATAAACCGAAAAATTGAAAATTTAAAATCTGGAAAAATCGAAAAAATTGAAGAACTGATAAACTGAAAGATCGAGGAATCGCTAAATGTGAAAACCAAAATATCGAAAAGTCGAAAAATTGAAGAATTGAAAACAAGAAATGAGAAACTGAAAAATTGTAAAACTGACAAATTCATAAATCGAAAAATCTAAAAATTGAATCACAGAAAAACTGAAAAATCGAGAAATCGAATAGACGATACACCGAAAAATTGAAAAAACTGATAAATCGTTAAAAATATTACAAAAGATAAAAAAGCGCCAAAACGACTAAAAACGACAAAAATGACCAAAAAATGCGTTAAAAAAGTCGACAAAATAGGCGGAAAATGGGATAAACCGCAAATCCAAAAAACAACTAAGGAAGGTGAGATACAGCGAAAAAAATACCAACAAAAAAAAAACTACAAGAAATACGACAACAAAAAAATAACCAAAAATTGCGACAAAAACGTGATTAAAAAAGCGATAAAAAACAGAAGCACTGCCAAAGTTCAACGAATATTACATCTCAGCCTATACTTTTCCATACAAATTTCTACAGGGTGATACAAAAATGACGTATAAGCTCGATGGTACGTTGTTAATAAGGCTCTCAAAAACTCAAAAAAAAAAAATTTTTGAAAATAATAAACTTCAAAGTTGAAGAAATTACTAGAGTGTAAAATTTCCATAAAAATTGTCAAAAATGGCGTCTGTTTTTGAGTTCTTCAGAGCCTTCGTAACAACGCACCATCGAGCTTACATGTCATTTTTGATCACCCTGTATAGTAACATTTTTGAATAACGCGTACTAAACCAATGCTAATATTTTGCCAAATTTTAAAGTAGGTAGTAGGTTTTCAAACAAATGTTTTTTTTTTAACGAAAACACAGATCTATTAAGCTAAAAATATGGATGCTACTAAATCACTTGCGACGTATAAATTTCAGCTCGGAAATTTTTGAATTTTTTGGAACCAATGCTTAGCCAAATTTTCGTTGGCGTTTTACTGTCTAGTCTATAAGTAAATTCTGTCAATAAAATGGCCAACAGACATGCGAAAAAAATAGGATTCCGGTAGCTATGAAAAAAAATTACATTCTGTAAACAATTACACGCAAAATTTTAGAAATATAACTGAAGTACAATAATAGAACTAATGTTGTGCAGATCGTAAACCAATAATAGTTTATTATTAAAATTTCCCAACGTAATGCGATATCTATACCTGGAATATTCAATCCAATATTGGGATTCAGGGGCAAAAACACGTATTTTTCCGTTCGGCAATGGAATACTTGGGGTCATTTTTCCCATCCATCACTATTGTAATTTTTTATCAGAAAACTAAAACGAAAGTAATTCCTCGTACTACTTTGCTATAATAACAACACAAAGTTATTTTAATGATTAACATGACCTAAACTACTTTCCTAATCAATAGCTACATAAAATAATGATCGCAGTTAAAAAAAATTTCCATTATAGACCATGGATAGAAGTGAAGTTTTCATTCATTACGAAAATAGGGTTTCCCACTCATCAATTAGTCATGAATCATTAATGACCCAAAACGATTATTTATAATAACAGTTTTTGTTTAATAAATATCGATAAATGTAACCATAGAACTTTTTCATACGAAAAAATAAATTCTGTATTATTAAAACGAAAAATACGACACCACAAATAGAAAGCTATTTCTTTAGAAAATCGTTAAATAAAAAAAGTGTGATACGACAATGTGAACTAAAGTAGACAATTTTGGACTTTAGTAATAACCTGCGAAAAATATTTTCTACCTGCATTGTCGAAAGAGGATTGTTTATTTATAATTAAATTAAAAAAATAAGGTGGACATCTCCACATTTCGTTGGATGGATACCATTATTAAATTTAATTTAGCTTGCGTGATGAATTGTCCGTGTTATTATAATAATTCGTGTGAAAATCCATATAAACACTATACTACTACATGAAGATTTTTTTTTGTTTAAAAATTCTAAGATTCAAAAAATGAAAAATTTATATCTCCAACTTTCAAATTAGAACTGAACCATCACAATGTATAAATGATTCGCTTAAATCCGCACCTTCAATGTTTGATTTTACAACGTCTATATTTATACTTATGTCCTTGCCACAAGATGAAAATGGACATTATCGGCTCCACTCGTATACATTATTTCAAAAAGAAAAACAAACCTCTCGATCCATATATCGGCAGCTTTGTACCTTTAATTTTACAACCGATTTAGTCCTTGTGCATGGAAATCACCCATAACTGGTCAATCGAGTTCTTATGGGCGTGTTCCTTCCACTCAAAAACTTGACGGTATTGGCAGACTGCATTACTAATCAGAGAAAAATACCGACACAAAAACACAACGATACTGAAACGCATACAAATCAACTTGGATGTTTGATCTGTCATAATCGACCTTCCATTTATTTTTGTGATTTTCTTGCTCACCTGTACACCCCATAGTGTTTCCCGCTCGCCCTGTCCCCACAGATCGAACACAGATGTTTTGAACCGCTGAGGGGATGATTGGGGGGATATGCCGACCCGGAAGAACTCTTATTTGCTGCATTTCCCGAAGGACTCAAGAGGCTCCCGTGTCCCATCGAGAACGAAACCGGACTGTTGGGACCCTGCGGACTGAATTGGCCCAGAGTCGAGGCGTCCGGTTTCATGTCCAGGGGCGACTGCGGAGCTCCCAGACTATTCATGGATAGGTTCTGGTCCAGACTGAGGGCTGAAACAGGAAAAACACGTTTCAAATATTTTTAGAATAGGATTTCTTGTCGAAAACGCGGAATTTCGCGAAAACTTGGAACTAATTCAATGAGGATTGGAATTTCGTCCGCACTGTTTTATTACGCTCGATATCATTATTTTTATGAAACAGTCAGGCTAATTAAAAAAACCACAATTAAAGTCAGGTCACAAGTCAGATCAGGACAAGTTAAGTCAGAATAAGACATGTCAAGATAAGTCAGGTCAAGAGAATAGAGATGAAGATAAGTCAAGTCAAAATGAGGCAGGTCAAGTCAGTTCAGGACACATCAGAACAAGTCTGGTCAGGACAGGGAAGGTCAGAACAAGTCAGGAGGACAAATCAGATCAGGACAGATCCGGTCAAGATAAGTCAGGTCAGGACAAGACATGTCGTGCCAGTAAGTTAAGTTAAGATAAGACAGGTCACGGTAAGTCAGATCACGGTAAGTCAAGTCACAGTAAGTGAGGTCACAGTAAGTCGGGTCATGGGAAGTCAGGTCACGGTAAATCAGCGCACAGTAAGTCAAGTCAGTACAAGTCACATCAAGGCAAGTTAGGTCAAGATAAATCGGGTTAAGACAAGTCGAATCAGGATAAATCGCCACAAGACAAGTCGGAACAAGTCAGGTCAACACAAGTCAACTAAGGATAAGTTATGTCAAGATAAGTCGGGTCAAGGTAAGTCAGGTCAAGATAGGTCAGGTCAAGATAGGTCAGGTCTACATAGATCAGGTCTACGTAGGTCAGGTCTACATAGGCCAGGTCTACATAGGTCAGGTCTACATAGGTCAGGTCAACATAGGTCAAGTCAAGATAAGTCAGGTCAAGATAAATTAGATCAAGCTAAGTCAGGTCAAGACAAGTCAGGTCAAGTCAGGACAAGACAAGTTACGACAAGGTAAGTCAAGTCAAAATAGGTCAAGTCAAGATAAGTCAGGTCAGGTAAGGTCAGGTCAGGTCAGATGAAGTTAGTTCAGTGCAGATCAGAACATGTCTGGTCAGGACAGAGCAGTTGAGAACAAGTCTATTTAGGACAGCTCGGGTCAAGATAAGTCAGGTCAGGATAGGTTAGGTCAGTTTGAGTCGTCATGATAGGTCAAGTCAAGATAAGTCAGTTCAAGTCAGTCAAGTCAGCCAGGTTAAGTCAACATGGGCAAGGTCAGGTCAAGACAGAACAGGTCAAGTCAAAATAACGAAAACAGGTCAGGTCAATGTAAGTCACATCAGGCCAGGCCAGGTAGGTCGTGTCAATAAGTCGGGACAAGGTAAGTTAAGTCATGTCGGGGCAAATTAGGCAGGTTAGGTCAAGTCAGGACAACTCAAGGTAAGTCATGTAGGGTGAATCAAGCCAAGCCAAAATAGGTCAAAATTAGTCAAGTCAGGACAGGCGAAGTCAAGTTAAGTACGGTCAGGTCAGGTCAAGTCAAGATAAGTCAGGTCAAGTCTAGATAAGTCAGGTCAAGTCTAGATAAGTCAGGTCAAGTCAAGATAAGTCAGATCAAGTCAAGATAAGTCAGATCAAGTCAAAATAAGTCAGATCAAGTCAAGATAATTCAGGTCAAGCCAATGAATAAATAAAATTTAATCATTGTTCAATAATCATTAAAACAATGTTAATAAATTGTCACGATTTCCAAAAAAAAAAATGTCCAGTAGTTTCGGCGATTATAACTTTTCAGTTTCTAGATATTTAATTTTTCCATTTTCGGGTTTTCTAATTTTTCAATTATTCGATTGTCCGTTTTTTGGTTTTTCGATTTTTTATTTGCAATTTTTCTATCCAACAACTGTAAGATTTCAAACTTTTTGATTTTATAACTTCTTGGTTATCACTTATTCGGGTTTTTAATTTAAAATTTTAATTTTTAGTCGTTTCAAGTTTAACGATTTTTCAACTTTTAGACAGTTTCATTTTTCGTTTCTTCAATTTTTCGCAGAAATGTTACGTATGTAACGAGGAGGGACATACAGCAAGAAGCATGAAATGTAAAAAATATAAAAAAGCAGTGGAGGAACTGCGGAATAGACAGGCGGAAAGGAAAGTTAGGTACAAAAGAATAAGTGAGAATTCACAATAAGAAGCTATGAGAGTAACACAAACAAACCTAAAAAGAAGCCAATTGGCAACAAACATACTGGAGAAAACTAGTAAAGAAAAGAAAGTCTCAATAATAATAGGACAAGAACCAAATAAAAAATTAGTAAAGAAGAACGATTATCACGACAAAGATAAGGATACTTTTATAAGGGTAGTAGACAAAACGTTCAGAGTGCACAACTGGGGAAAAGGAAAAGGGTTTACATACATAAAAAACGCGGAAAATGTAATTTATTCGGTTTATATTTCACCAAACTGCGAGATAAAAGACTTTACGGACTGCTTGGAGGCACTAGGAACCAGCATAAAAGGGAACAATAAAGGATGTACAGTGATAGGTGGCGATTTCAACGCACATAATACCATATGGGGGTCACAGAAAAATGACGAGAGGGGCGACCTACTCGCCGACTGGATGGCAGAAAACGACCTAGTGGTGCTTAATGACGGCAAGGAACCAACCTTTAAAGTAGGAAAGACGCGCATAGACCTCACTCTCTGCTCGACGAAGCAAAGTAACCTAATAACAAATTGGAAAGTTGAGGTTGACGAAGAAAACTTCAGCGACCACAACAGCATCATGTTCGAACTTATTTCGGCAGAAAAAAAATTAAAACGTACCGAAAAGGGCAGAGCGACTATCGGAAAACAAACGATTAGTGGATGGAAAATGGAAAGAGAAAGGATGAGCACATTCACACAAAATTTTAAAAAGGAGTTGGAAAAAAACAAAAAAGCAAACTACGAAAGCTCACCAAAAACACTAATTTCTGCCATAGTTAAAGCGGGAGATAGATCCTTCAAGAGAAAGAGTCCACCGAAGGGATCCAAAACGCCAGTCTACTGGTGGAACGAGAGCGTCGAAGACGCCCGAAAGAATTGTATCAAACAAAGGAGAAAATTGACGAAGACAAATAAGAAAAAAGACGCTTCCCAAAATGAGAAAGACCAAGAAAACGAAAAATACAGAAGGTTAAAAAAGACCCTAAAGAAAGAGATCCAAAAGGCGAAAGCCAAAGCGTGGCGAAAAACTTGCCACGAGTTAGAAAACGACCCATGGGGAAAAGCCTTCAAAATCGTTACGAACAAATTTAAACTGGCCCCAAGGACTTTTCCAGACGAAGAGACAACGAACAACCAGATATCCAAACTGTTTCCCAGAAGACGCATCACAACGCCGAGTTTACCGACGGTGGACAGGAAGGAAGTACCCCCATTTAAAATGGAAGAACTCAAGCAGGCGGCCCGAGAAACAAAAAACAGAAAAGCACCGGGACCGGACGGCATAACACCTGAAATGGTGAAAGCGATCGTCGAAGAATATCCAGAAGAGATCCTAGACGTCATGAACAAATGTATAATGGATGGAGAATTTCCCAAAATATGGAAGGTAGGTCGTCTAGTGTTATTAGAAAAAGAAAACAAGGGAGACGGGGACGGAAGATCATACCGACCGATCTGCTTATTGGATACATGCGGCAAGCTGTTGGAAAGAATGATCAGAGGCAGACTAGAGGAAAGTATTTCGGAAAGGGGGGGGCTGTACGTTCACCAATACGGATTTCGAAAAAAAAGATCGACGATAGATGCAGTAAGAACGGTGCAAAAAACAGTGGAAGAAATAAAGAAAACTTCCTATAAGCACAGGAAGGTGGCGGTAATGGTGGCGGTAGATATAAAAAATGCATTCAACACGGCCGATTGGAGCATAACTCTGCAAGAACTGGAGAAGAGAAACGTGCAGCCATACCTGATACGAGTAATAAAAAGTTATTTGGAAGACAGATGGATAGAGACAGAGTACGGGGGTATGTTCCAAATGTCATGCGGGGTACCGCAAGGCTCCGTTTTGGGGCCGACATTGTGGAATATTTTCTATGATAGATTGCTGAAAACAAGACTGCCTAAAGGAGTACAGATGATCGCGTTTGCCGACGACCTGGCAATAGTAATCGCGGATAAGGAGAAAGAACTAAAACAAAAAACAGAAACGGCCTACAGGATAGTAAAATCCAAAATAAAAGAATTAAGTTTAGAGCTAGCAGAGCACAAAACAGAGGCCGTGCTTCTACAGGGCAGGCGTAAGCTAAAAGTCATCGAGCTAAATTTAGAAGAAGGTGCACCCCCGCTGAGGACAAGCGAACAGATTCGATATTTAGGCGTTACGATCGACAGGGATACGAAAATGGTAGCGCACGTCAGAGACGCAACCAAGAGAACGGACAAGATAGTCAATAACCTGAAAAGAATAATGGTAAATATCGGGGGGCCAAGGTCATCCACTAGAAAGATCATAGCAACGGCGGCACTCTCCACCCTGCTGTATGGATGCGAGACATGGCACGAAGTACTCAGATGGGGCTGCTACAGAAATCTTCTGAATAAAACAAGCCGAAGGATAGCTATTATGATAAGCAGTGGTTATCGCACGATCTCGACGAACGCACTATTCGTCATAGCCGGCATGATGCCAATAGATCTGAAAGTACGGAGAAGATGTCAAGTGTACGAAAGAGGGAAAGAACACAGAGGGGAAATTGAAAAGGAAGTGTTTAAAGAATGGCAAAATAGATGGGATAAGGCAGAAGGCGAAACAGCAGGATGGACCAGAAGATTAATCCCAGATCTTCAGAAGTGGGCAAATAGAAAGCATGGAGAGATAAATTATTATGTAACGCAGATGCTCTCGGGGCACGGAAACTTTGCGAAACAAAGACAAAGAATCGCGAAGAGCGAAACGAGCGAATGCTGGTACGGGTGTGGAGAAGAAGACACAGCAGAGCACACACTTTTTGCTTGCTTAAAATGGCAAAACGAGAGAAGAAAACTGGAAGATCAAATAGGTAAAAGAATTGAAGATAAGAACCTCGTCGAAACAA